GGACAGAAGGCCTGTATGTATATTTCAAAAACACATAAAAGACCTAAGGCATAGAGAACATCAAGGAAAAGTTGGGGAAGGTCTAACCCCTAACCAGGAAGTCTGCTGTGAGATTGTGTCTCCTAGAAATGACAGGGGAGCTACACCCATGATACCTCAACAATATGGCTGCCTAAACAAGACCTGAACAATGGCAATATTAACACACGTGCTAATATAGAAGGGGAAATCTTATAGAGTCCCACTCCTAGGCAAAGTACTACAGGCAACTAATTACTGCTGAGAGAGAGGGAGAGAGAGATGAATTAACCTCTCCCAGAGATGATCTCCCTAACTTATTGTCCAATTCAAAGTGGTTAGGCCTGAAATCTATATACACAAACCATACTGAATGGCCTCAGCAAGTTGAATTTATATAATTATGTATATATGTATATAAAATAAATTATAAATACACAAGTTTTATATGTATCTACACATAATTATAAATTTATAATTCATACACAAGTTTTATATGTATCTACACATAATTTGTAAATTTATAATTATGTGTAGATACATATAAAACTTGTGTATGTATGTACATATGTTTATGTGTACATAAGTTTATTTGTACATATAAAACTTGTGTTTTATATGTATCTACACATAATTATAAATTTATAATTATGTATAAAGATAATAGAGAAAGAAAGAGTGGCCATCCATTTGAGAGGGAGGGGAACATGGCAGGGGTTAGAAAGAAGAAAGGGAAGGGGGAAGTGAAATAATTATATTTTGATTTTAAAATTTTTAATAAATAAGAAATAAATAACGAAAAAACCTGCTTTAATAGAGAAAGACAGAGAAGACTCTCAGCCCAGTGCCACAAGGCCCTGGCAGACAAAGTAAGCCTGAAACAACGCTCAGTCCAGCACCATGTGGTCTAGGCAGATGGAATACCCCTTAGACAACCCCTGCCTGGTGCCACCTGCCCTACTGGGCAGATCACACCTGAGATGGCTCCTTCTAGCACAGCCCAGGCAGGCAGACCATGCCTGAGAGGACCCCTGCCTAGTGCCACATGGCACTGGTGGGGCACAGCACTCCTAAGATGACCCCAGACACCAAGAAGCTCCAGGGAGCAGTAAGATAAGAAGTCTCATATAAGACAAAGGTTAGAGATCTTGTACCAGCTAGAGGGAGATCTTGTTTCCTGAAAAGTGATTAAACACAGGTTTGACAACTTGATAGACCATCTTGCAAAAGAGTTGAAGGTGAAGCACAGAACCACACTTTGACCGGGATTGCTTAGTTATGCATCCCTGTTGCCCTCTCATTAGGGCCTTGGAGATGGACTTGGGATGTGGGGCAAGGTCATTGGATCTCTATGTTCCTTTTCCCATTCTGTCCACATTGAATAAATTTTTTCTGCCTTTCATTATTGTTCATCTAATTGGCCTATTAAAGACTGGTGGTTGAGCCTGGATTCTTAGAGCTGCTAGCACCTAGGCTCAAACTTTAAGAGTTAGATGCTTTATTTGGAAGTTGTGGAACTTTTAGAGAAAATGGGTCATTGGCCATTGGTTGTAGAGCCCAGCCCCATTTTCCATTTTTTCTCTGCATCTTGACTGTACATGCAGTGCGAGCAGCCATTTCAGCATCCTGCCATCACGACTTCATCACCACAATGGACAGTATCTCTCCTTACACTGTAATCCAAAATAAAGCCTTCTCTAAGTTGCTTTTGTTGGCTATTTGATCACTGCAGAAAAGGGCTATGTTGTGGTAACTGATCACTGCTCTTATCCAGGTAAACACTGAGAAAGAGCAGGAACGAGAACTCGAAGATATGGAAAAATGTGTCATTTTGTGAGGAAGTTTAAAGCTGCAGACAAGATGGCTGCTAGGAAAGCAGCTGTGGTCATTAAAAAAGATTAGTGAAATCTCTTAATAGAGAAAGCTATTCTGCACTGGGACAATAGCAAAGATGTCCTGTGGGCAAGACCCTACCCATCAAAGGCTCCAGTTTATGAATCTCCAAATTCATGTGAATGGGGAGAGGGCCAACTGAGAATGCCATTGAAGGGCTTCTCTGCACAAAACAAGTACACATTGAAGTGTTTTCTCAGATCAGCCCTAAACGTACACAGCGGCCACTGCAACTCTATTCAGAGGTGGGTGGCCAAGAACCTGTCAGCTTTGTCCAAGTGGTACTGACTTGCAGGTAAAGGATGCAAGAGTGAAGGAGACTGTGCCAAGGTTCTGGAAGCTGTGGAGGACAAAAAATGTATGGTAGAGCAAGATTCCCTGAAAAGGCCCAGAGAGGCTGTTGTATGAGGCTGGGAAGATGATGGTAGAGATGCAAGGACTGTGGAGCATCCACGGAGGAAAGCTGCAGGCATGGACGGGAGGCAGACCTTAACCAAAGGCCATTATGATAGGTAGCAGAGCTGGGGCCCATTGGATTATGCCAAGTTATTGGAGCCCAAACAACTCCAGCTTGAATATGGAACTTCAAGATTTGTGTCTGCTGTGCTGAATTTCAGTGTTTCTCTGAAACGATTTCCCCGTGCTATCTTATTCTCTTTGGAACACTAGTGAATACTGGTGTAGTATACAATTTGATTTTTCATTTTATAGCGGCTCATGTGTAAGAAGTTGGTGCCACTCCTTTTTGGAAACAGTTTTTTGCTCTGTGTTCTAGGCTGTCTTGAAATTTACAATAATTCTTCAAAGGTTTAGAATTACAGTGGTGCACCATCATAACCATATTTTAAATTGTATTTTCTGTCCATAAAAATCCGATTCAATCAGCTTTATTTGTAATAGCCAGAAGCTGGAAACAACCCAGATGCCCCTCAACTGAAGAATGGATACAGAAATTGTGGTACATCTACACAATGGAGTATTACTCAGCAATGAAAAACAAGGAAATCATGAAATTTGCAGGTAAATGGTGGGAACTGAAAAGGATCATCCTGAGTGAGCTGTCCCAGAAGCAGAAAGACACACACGGTATATACTCACTCATATAGACATATAATATAGGATAAACCTACTACAATCTGTACACTTAATCTAGAGGGAGGACTCTGGCGCAAATGCTCAATCCCCATTGAGAAAGGCAAAGAGGCTGGACATCAGAAGAAGAAAACAGGAAACAAGTTAGTAGCCTCCCACAGAGGGCCTCTGAAAGGCTCTGCTCTGCAGACTATCAAAGCAGATGTTGAGACTTATGGCCAAACTTTGGGCAGAATGCAGGGAATCCTATGAAAGAATTGGAAATAGTAAGATCTGAAGAGGACAGGAACTCCACAAGGAGAGCAACAGAACCAAAAACCTGAGTACAGGGGTCTTTCCTGAGACTGATACTCTAACCAAGGATCATGCATGGAGATAACCTAAGACTCCTGCCCCCTGAACAGATGTAGTCCATGGCAGTTCAGTATCCAACTGGGGTCCATTGTAATAGCAACAGGGACTGTCTCTGACATAAACTAATTGGCCTGCTCTTTGATTACCTCCCCCTGAGGGGGAAGCAGCATTACCAGGCCAGAGAGGAAGACAATGCAGCCACTCCTGATGAGACCTAACAGACTAGGATCAGAAGGAAGAAAAAGAAGACCTCCCCAATCAGTGGACTTGGGGAGGGGCATGAGTGGAGAAGGGGAAGGGAAAGATTGGGAGGGGAGGAGGGAGGGAACTAGAGGGGGGGATACAAAGGAAAAAAGTGTAATTAAAAATAAAATAAAATAAAAATTGAAAAATCTGATTCAACTCTAAGTAATGTAAAGCAATTAATAAACTAAAAATGCATTTTGGGGCTGAATCTGTCACAAGTACTTCATAGTACTAGTCATTGGTTACATAAATAATGAAACTTCTTTTGAATATAATATTCTATTTATTCCAAATAATTTACATGCAGTCCTCTCAATCCTTTTCCATACTTCACATCCTTTTGGTGCCTGCCACTGTAGGGAACAAGCAAAAGAAACTTACTCTAAGCACTAACACTCAGTTTTCATACTCCATGTAACCATAGGAGAAACTATGTTCAAGGTCCAGGCCCTGGGGAGCTGGGGACTTCAGCTTCCGTTATTTGGAAACAATTGTCTGAGTCCAGACATCTCAGGGGCAGCTTGTGAAGGAGACAATTGTTTTAAGTCCAGCCACTTCAAGGACAACTTCTCCATCTTGCCGGCAGGGTCACACTAGGTTCATGTTCCCAAGGACGGGAAACCAACCCCTATCCTGATTGTCAATTCTATCCTGGTTGACAATACTACTATCCCAGCATCCAGTTCTTTGTATGTAGTATGCACTCTGTACAAGCTCAGAGAATACTAAGTTACGTAAGTGACTTTAAAAGTTCAATACTAAATCTCCAGAGTGTTAGTGGCCCGTAATCCCAGCAATGAGGCTCAGGATGGGAGGCTTTTGTTTTACATGAGATTGGGCAGCATAGGGACACCACTTCTCCCTCTAAAAGGAGAAAAAAAAAAAAAAAAAGGTCAGCTGTATCACTTCTAGTAAAATTTTAGATTATTCATATACTCCGCAATAAAAAATATCCCTCGCGTTCAGGTTTTTCTTTTGAATTCTGAGATTACACATTTTGAGAAGGCACATACTCTAGAGTATAGTCGTTCTAGTTCTGAAACCTTTGGCCAAATCTAGGTCTCAGGCTGGCTCACTTCCCAGCACCCTTCCTCCGGTCCGCGCACGCCCTTAGCCCCAGAAGGAAACCCACTGAAGATCCTCCGCGGGAGGCTGAGCCCACGGACCACACTTTTGTACTCCACTAACACCGACCTGGCCCACAATCTGGCCCAGCTCCTCTGCGCCCCAGGGAGGTCCTTAGGCTCGCCGGAAGCCCCGCCCCCAGCGGCCAGCGGGCTCGCGCATGCCCGGTGCGCGCAGCCTTGTCCCAGCGGGCCCCGGCGCGCGTGCGGCGCGCCTCCTCTCGTCCGCCCCGCCCCCTCTGGTCACTCAGGGGCGCGCGCAGCGAGTGCGCAGCGATTGGCTGGCTCCGGGGCCCGCACCTCAGGCCGGAGAAACTGAGCTGAAGGATCCCGCGGCTCCTCAGGTAACGGCGAGCACCGGGAGGGGTGGGGGAAGGGAGAGAACCTCAGGGTGGGCTGCAGCCCGCTCGGGACTTCCGGCCGCCGCCCGGGACATGCAGGAACGCTGCGCCGAACTGGCCGCGAGAGTGCGGGTCACTCTCGGCCCACACCGCCGGGTCTTCAGGTGACACTCTGCTTCTTCTCCGCCAGGTTTCGGCATCCCTAGGCTTTCCGAAGTGAAGAGGCTGAACATTGATTCAGAGGTGTAGGTTTTTTTCCCTCTAAGACTTGACGAGTTAGGGTTTCGGTCCCGCTAGACCGCGGATCCACTCTATGCCCTTGCGGGACGCTTCAGCGATTTCTAGTTTTCACCCTTGAAAGGGCAAGCAAAAAGTCTAGTGTTGCTTGACACGCGCAGAGCCTTCTATTGCAAACTCTGGGTTCACAATATCCAAGAGCCGGCTTTTCTAACTGGAGGACGACACCACCCAATGGTGTTGGTGAAATACTTCAAGCTGGATAAACTACAAGATAGCAGAATACAAGAGGGTGATAAAAAACAACATCAAACAACAACAACGAAACACTTGTTTCTAGAGCAGGCCTTTGGAAGGGCTTTTTGAAGTTTTTTCTTTTTCTTTTCTTTCTTTTTTTTTTTTTTTTTTTAGTTTATTTACTTTACATTCCACTCTCCTCCCATTCCAACCCTTCCCTTCCTTTACCCTTCCCCTCTCCCTTCCCCCCAGAAAAGGGGAGCTCACACTATCAAGCCTCACCAGCACATCACCTCAAATCAGGAATGAGCATATCCTCATCCCCTGGAACCAGGCAAGGAAGCCCAACCAGGGGGAATTGACCCGAAAGAGTCCATGTTAGAAGCCCCCCCCCCCCCCCCATCCACTTGCCAGGCAACCCACATGAAGACTAAACCACCCATCAGCCACATATGTGCAGGGGATCTAGGTTCAAACCATGCATGCTCCTTAGTTGATGTCTCAGTCTCTGCAAGCCCCCATGGGACTGGGTTAGTTTTCTCTGTTCGTCTTTTTTTGAGGTTTCTGTCCCCTCCACGTCCTTCCATCCTTTCCCCAACACTTCCACAGGACCTATGGAGTTCTGTCCCATGCTTGGCTTCAAGTCTCAGCAACTGTCCAGATCTACTGCTGGCTCCTGTCTGAAAGCATAGCAGAGCATCATTAATAGTGTCAGGACCTGGCTCTCTACCATGGGGTGGGTCTCAGGTTGGGACAGTTATTAGTTGGACATTCAGTCTTCGTTTCTTCTTAATCCCTGCACTTCTTGAAGGCAAGGTAACTTTTGGATCAAAGGATTTGTCTGTTTGTTTGTTGTTCCCCTCCTTCCAAGAGTCCTGCCTGGCTAGGAGGTGGACACTTGAGTCTTCATGTCTCTTCTCTCCTCTGTTAGGAGTCTCAGCTAGAGTCACACCAATATCCTCCTAGGAGCCTACCTTGTTGAAGGCCTCAGCTTCAGGCCTCAGGGATAAAGAGATGTCCCCCCTCAGTTTCCCTTCTAGTTCTCAGCCCTCTCACCTCCCACTCCTGCTCTCTCCACATCTGATCCCCATCCTCATTTCCCTCCCCATTCCATCTCCTGCCCAGTTCTCTCTCTTCATGCACTTCTGTCTGTTCTACCCCTTCTGAGTGACATTCCAGCACCTTCCCTTGAGCCCTCCCTGTTGGTTTCTTTGGGTCTGTGGATTGTAGTATGGTTGTTTTTTGAGCATTTTTATGTGGGTTATATCCCAGTGGTGGTAGACAGCTAAAGAAGGACAGCTTTAACCTCTATCACAGGTTACTCACTTTGCAAAGTGTCTTCTGATCTGGGATATACCCCATGTAAAATAAGTTATATCATCATTATATAGGCTACCATCCTATTGGTTATTGGTTTTTGTAAATCAACTGGCCACAAACTAGAGTGACCTAAGAAGAAGACAGTTCAAAGGAGGAGTTGCCGCCATCATATTGTGATTGTGTTTTTTTTTCTTTTATTAAAAAAGATTGATTGATGTGGGAGAGCCCAGATCACTGTGTGTTATAACAGCCCTGGGCAAGTGACCCTCAGTTGTATAAGAAAGCAAACCAAGCAAGCCATTGGGAGGAAGCCATTAAGCAAGGTTGCTTCTGGGTCTCTGCTTCAGTTCTCCTTCGGGGCTCCATCCTTGAGCTCGTTTGGTAGCTTCCCTGGGTGATGGAAACTACACAGCCCCGTGGTTGCTTTTGGTGATGGTATTTGTCAAGGCAACAGAAACCAAACTAGGTCATGTCCTATGTAGTACTATACCAATAAAATTAATTGAGGCTAACTTAACTTTGTAAAACGAGATAATATGAATTATTTCATTACATAAAAGTAATGATGGCAAAACAAATACGGATAGGAGATGTATACATTTTTTTTTCTTCGAAGACAGTATATAAAATACAACTGTGGTAAATTTAAAAGTTTAATAAACATACAGAAACATGCTTAAGTCATGTGTACAACTTATTTCACTTTCATGAAGTGTATATACTCCTTTATCTAGTATCAAGAAAAAGAAAGAACATAAAAGGATGGAGAGATACATCAGCAGTTAAGAGCACAGAACTGTGTTTGATTCCAGGCACCTACATGGTGTGTACAACCATTTTTAACTCTATTATCAGGAAATGTGCCACCCACTTCAGCAGTCTTAGCATGCTTGTATGCTCTGTGTATGCTTGTGGTGTCAAGGCATACATGCAGGCAAGATGCTCATACATAAAAGAAAATATTACATTATTTTATTTTTTAATAATATTTGCATCCCAGAAAACCCCACTTGTGCCCCCTCTCCAATAGTAACCACTGAATTTGAGTTACAAAGACTCCAAGGTCCTGGAGCCATTACCACCTCATGGCCTGCTGGTTAGTTATTTTGGCTGAGTACATGGGCTGGATTTGGGCTGTGGACTGTAGTTTGCCAACCCCTGCTATATTAAAAAATGCCTGCTCATTTTTGGAGGGGGTTGGGTGGGGAGTCAGTAACTGAGACGGGTTGTGTTAGAGAAGTAAAGATCCCTGACAATATTAAGTAGAATGTGTAATAGTGTTTGGGGTTTGGATTTCAAATCTCCTAGACTTGCTTCCTTTGCTTTTTGCTGGTTTTACCTCAGTAATAATTAAAGTCATATCTGGGACTTTTCCCTAATTGTTCTTATTGTTCCTAGCCTACCTTTAAAATTGGAGAACAAAAAGGAAGTTAAAAAAAAAAAAAAGAAAAGAAAAGTGGTACATGCTTTTTTTTTTGATAGTGTGTAGATGTAGAACCTGTAAACTTAAGGTTGGTGCCTAGACAATCCTGAACACTGAGTAAAAGTATATAAAGTAAAATGTACTCTTGTAGTACTCTTTGAGACAGTGCTCTTGGAGCATGAAATGTCCTGAGTGAATTTCTATCTACTGGATTGAATATATGTATGCTATTAAAATTCATAAGCAATGGTTTGGGCTCTAATGCTTAACTACGATTCACCTACCCTAGTAGACAGCTGCTCTTTTGAAATTCTTTAACAATCTGCCCAGTCTATCTTCTCTTATTCTGGACACCCTGCTGTTTACTCAGCAGTACCGAAACTTTGCCCGAGTATTATCTCAGTTAACGTTTGCAGTTGTCACATTCTGTTTTTTAGGTGGATTATTAGAAGTGAATTTAATACATATTTAGAAGTATTCTGAGGAGAGGTCTGGGGATCTCTTATCAATGTGTTACTGATTTATATGAGTTTTTCAAACTTCTTTGACTATGCAAACACAGATTTAAGATAGACCACACCTTCTGATACAATAAGGGTTTATATAAGCATTTGAAAAATAAATCCTAATGTGATAATCCGCTAGGCAGCAACAAATAGCAATAAATAACAAATGTACAACTTAATAAAATCAGAAAAAATTGTGAAAGAATAGCTTTTGTGAGAGTTCAAAAACAGGTACGTTTTAGTGTCTCTCACTCTTGCACTCTTGCACTCTTGGTCTTTTTTTTTTTTTTTTTTTGAGACAGGGTCTCCTTTCCTTTAGCCTGACCTCAAACTAGCTAAGCAGCTGATGTCCTTACACTTGCTTCTCCTTGTTTCTGACTCTGGAGAGTTGTGTGCTGGGATCACAAGTGTGCACTACCATGCCTACAGTCTTTTCTTGTTGTCGTTATTATCATTTTTTATTTTAAAGAAACAAGGTCTCCCTGTTTTGCTCTGACTGGCTTTGAACAAGCCATCATCCTGCTTTTGCTTACCAAGCAGCTGTGACTACAGGAATTGGCCACTGTATTCAACCTAGCTTGTTTGGGAATCATTAGTTTTTATGTCCTGAAATATTAAATTTAACCATTACTATAGACCCCATTTTTGTTTTGGGATATGGCTTTTTGTTTTTGTTTTTAAGTGTAGTCTGGCAGCATAAATAACTTCAGAATGGTAGCTGATTTGGTATTTCTCTATAATGGTTGACTAATAGGACAAATTTGCCATAGAACTGTTTCTGGCCATTGGTAAGAGTGTCTCTGGTTCTGATATTGTTAAAATTAAAAGTGTTGTTTTTTTAGAGTTTATTCTGTTTTGAATATATACGGGTAGGTAGTATATTATGAATATAAATTTTTGTATTATATTTGTATACGTACATTGAGATTGCTTTCATTAAGCTTGGATTTATAAGCTTTGGAAAGAAACTATAGCAGAGTTCATTTTGCTGTAGTCTATAGAATTTTCTTTTATTGTTTCTTCTTGACACATGCCAACGTCTCTTCTTTGTTGCTGTTTTTGTTGTTGTTTTAAGACATTCTCTTACTAGTTAATGCTGGCTGTCATGGAAGTTGCTTAGCAGACCAAGCTGGCCTTGAACTCAAAGAGAATCACTCTCTCTGCTTTTCAAGGATACATCATTCCACAGGGCTTCTTTGTATTTAATCTTGAGGATTTTGCTACTGTGGAACAAATTATGAAAAATAGAAAAAAATGATAATAACTTTAAAAAAACTTTA